GGAAACATGCCAGGCAAACACCTTTTAGCTTGTAAACAGTCATTAAAGAGCTAATAAACCTGATTTTCCTGAACCCTGCCCTGCGGCTTGCTGGATTGCTGGAGGAGGCTGACCTCAGCCGTGGCTGCCAGGGCTTCGGGGCACCGGGCCTCGGGCCCATCCAGGCCACTCCACCTGGGGACTTGCAAAGCAACCCGCTCGTATCCCTGACTGGTGTGACTCAGTGGGTTGTGCATTGTCCTGCTTTAAACTAAAAGGTTGCCAGCTCGATCCCTAGTCAGGGCACATGCCTGGGTTACGGCAGCCAGTTCCCGGCTGGGGTGTGCAAAAGGCAACAGATCGATGTTTCTTTCCCTCTTTCTCCTTCCCTTCCCTTAAAAAAAAGAAAAAAGAAAAAAAACAACCTACTCATCACTCCTTCCCATCCCCCCCGTTGGTGGGTCCTCTTGTAAAGGGGTGGTCCTGCGGGGATACCTGGCCCAGCAGCCTCATCTGAGCTTCAGTTGTCTCTGCTGTGAAATGGGGTGATGCCCCGCCCCCGAAATCCAGTGGAGGTGACATGAAATCATGAATGTACAGCACATGGTGCCCTGACAGTGGCCAGTTACTGACATCCTGGCTGACCTCTGCCCTCCTTGCTCGCTTGGTCTCTGGACCTGACCCAAGAACCCAGAGGGAACCGATCGCTATTTAACAGGTGGGGAAACTGAGGCTCGGGAAGGTTAAGCCACCTGTCCAAAGCCCCTCGTTAGGAGGTGGTGGGGCCCACATCCTGCAGCCTCCTGTCAACCTCAAATGGTGGGACAAAGTGGCCAAAGGACAAGCCTGGGGCTGGGGCCGTGACTCTGGGAGGAGTCCAGGTCTGGCCAGCCCTGGAGCTTAGGCCTTTGGTTTATGAGCCCCTCCTACCCCCTCACGCAGAAAAGGCACCACCCAGCGCTTGATGGCTCCTCTCAACTTATCAAAAGGCTTTCACAATCTCTCACCTCTGGCCTTATCTCATTATCTTCCTTGGCTGGTAATAAACTTAGACTCCAGTCCTGCTCCAGAACACAGGCCCCCCCCACCCCCGTCCCCTCCAGGCCTCCTGGGACCACACAAGGCATGGCCTAGCAAGAGCCAAGCCGTCCGGACCGGAGAAGGTGCCCGTTGCAGGTGCTACGAGCAGGACTGCCTGAGGGTGCTCCGGGTGGCGCTGCAGGGCACATGTGGGGAACAGAGGAGAAAGCCAAGGTTCTGGGCACTTGCCCTGCACACGGCCCCAAGAGCCCAGGGGCAGAGATGAAGGTCGCCACCTCCGTGACATCCCTGCCCCCACACACACACACACTGTGAGGACACACTCGCTTAGGCAGGCAGGAAAACCCCTGGGCGGGGGTGGTGGCTCACGCCCGACTCTGCTCCTAGGCTGAAACCTGGGCACTGCAGCCCCCCAACCCCGATGACCCCGGGGCGCAGGCCGCCGGCTCCCAAGCTCCCAAAGCGGTCAAGATGCCGATACCATTATCTTGATGGCTCCCATGCCATGTTCCTCGCGTGGCAGCCCGGCCAAGCTTTTACAAGAACTGCTGCTGGATCCTCACAGTAACCCTGCCACGGAGACTGCCGTTACCCGTTGCACAGAGGGGGAAACCGAGGCACAGGCTATTCAAGCGACCCCCACCATACTGACCGCACTCTCCCAGGCCACGGTGCCTGCTGGCCTCTGGGCCTTGCATGTTGCCCCTTCCCTCTGCTCCCCCCGCCCTCTGGGCCAGTGTCCCAGGCTGGTCCGCCGGCTTCCCACCACTTCCCTGGGGGGCCCGTTCCAGCAGCTTTGGAACCTCAGATGACCAGTGTCTGGGATGGTCCCCGGACACATCTCCCGAACGAGGGAATGGGGACACGGTGGCCCTCTGAAATTCCCTGAGGTTCCCTTCCTGCCTATCTGACAGACAGGGACTTTAGGGGCAGCCAGGAGGACACCGCCTCCCGGCTCGGCTTGTGTCCTGGGAGCTGCCTCGCCTGGCAGGCTCCCTGCCCTGACTCTGCGCCGGTGCTGCTGGCCCCACCACTCCTCCCCCACGCCTGGCTCAACAGGGTAGGAAACTGGGAGCAGACGTGTGAGCTCACTCTGGAAATCCCCACAGGCAGCCAGGGCAACACCGAGGCCTGCTCCGAAGTGGGTGGCACAGGGACCCACAGGACGTGCTAGGGGAGAGGCCGCGGGAGAGGACATCTCCCCGACACTGCATGGCGGGGCGGGGCGCCGGGGCTACCGTATTCCACCACCGCTCACATCCGACGCCGGGGAGGCACCCAGCCACTTGGACGTGAACACACACAGACACACGCACCCTGTCTTCTTCCTGCTCTCGGCTGGGGTCTAGTCGGGCACAGAGTTTACACAGCAAGTCGACAGGAACCCTGCGACGCGGCCACAGCAGTGTCCAGAGCTCTGGCCGCAGTGAAAACACTACTCCTGGCCCCGAATCAGACTCAGGCCCCCGCGGCCTCTGCAGCGCATTTGGGGTGTGATTCACCTCCCCGTTAGAGGATCAGAAGTCTCGTCCCGAGCAGCGAGTACGTGAGAGACGCCAGGTGTAGCTGCAGCTCGGAAACAAGCGAGCCCGCTGAGAGTCACCTAGTGGTCAGTTCGCGAGCAGGTGGCACAAGGACGTAGGGCAGGGCCTGGGAAAGGGCAGCCCAGGGTCAATGCTGCCCCCCCACCCCCCGCCGACTTCCAGAGCGGCCTTGTGCAAGCGTGGGGGTCGCCTTGCACCCTGAGAGGCACACTGCTGATGGGGGTCACTGCTCTGGTTTCTTGTTTTACTGGAGAGATGGGAATCTCACTCCAGCCTTTTAAAGTTAAAAGGCAAAAACAAACAAACAAAAAAACCAAACACACACAATGCAGTAGGCAAACCAGAAACAGCCACCTGCCTTCTTGCCTTGCCAGGGTTCCAGCGTCCAGAAGTGAACACGACAAGGGGCAGCGGATACTGCCAGGAAATGGGAAGGAAGGTGGGGTGGGGGGTGGGGTCCTGGCACCTGGGCACAGGTGGCTGCTCCATCTCACCCTGCCCGTAGTCAGCCCAAGTCCCCAAGAGCTGGGAGCATATCCCTTCAGCCCAGCGCCAACAATCCAGAGCTCTCCCTGCCAGGGTCCCCCTGCCCTGCGGCTCTGATGCCCCCCATCTCTCACGTTGGTTCGGCAACCACTTGTGGGGTGTCCTGCTCCCACTCCCCAGGCTCTGGTCTAACCACAGTGGAGTTTTTTCTTGCAGCGGGGGAGCAGGTTGGGGAGCCACAAGGAATTAGAAAACTTGCTGTACCCCTTGGGTGTGATTTTCCCGGTGTAAATACTGGAGGAGTTAGGTGTGTTTAGAAGGGAAAATTTCAGCGGGTCACATGACATCAGCTGTCCATGACGGCATCAGCAATCCCGCTTTGGGAAAACCTGTGAGAACAGAGCTGACACCCAGGGACATCTGGGCTCCTTTGTAGGAGGCTGCCTGAGAGGTGAAGCACCCCAGGACTGCCCCCTGCCCCTGGTGTCAGCTCCTGCCCGTGGCACCCTGACCTTCTTCCTGCAGGGCCCTTGGTTTGAACAGGCAGAGGCAGGCCCATGGCTCCAAAGGCAGCCTCTTGCTGGGGGAATAACTGCCCGCGCACCTCCTGGTCTATCTCATTTAGGTTTGTTCCAAGTTCCTTTCCAAACCTCTGGGGAAACTGAGGCGGAGGCAGGGGAGTCAGTCAGCACAGGCAAACCTCAGAGATATTGTGGGTTTGGTTCCAGGCTACCGCAATAAAGCCAGTCATAATCTTTTTTACTGGTGGAGGCTCTTGCCTTCAATTTATTAAAAAAACAAAAACAAAAACAAAAAAACCCGCAACATCTGTGAAGTGTACTGAAGCAAATGGCGGTAAAAGGAGGAGCGCCTGCTCCTTGGCGGACCAGAGGCTGCGGCGCGGTGCCGCCGGCGGTTTACGTGGGATGACTCTTTGCTGTGGGGGCTGTTGTCTCACCCATCGCGGGGTGTTTGGCCAGGCCCCTGGCCTCTGTCCACTAGATGTCCAATGGCAGCAACATTCTCCACCCTCCCCTGAGCTGTGACGACCAGAACGTGCATTTTCCCAAACATCCTCTGGCCAACAAAATCACCCCCATGGTCCAGAGCCACAAGCTTCACTTGTCACTCTTCCCTCTGCCCTGCCTATAGAGAGTGACAGAAACATAACACAGATACTGGGCTCATTATTTTACCAGCAAATGTCACAGACAGGAGTCCTGAATCTAGCTAGCCATTTGGGAACCAGCAGGCAGTGCACATGTGGGGTCAAGCCTGCAGACCCTCCGACCCTGCAGCCTGCTCCCTTACCTTAGTCTTTCACGGACTTAGGCAGAGGCTGAGACCTGGGCTCCACCTCCGCCCTGGAGTGAAGGGCCTATGTCCCCTAAGGGACGTATCCCTCTAACCTAATCCAAAAAAGAGGGGCCAACCTTTCCAAGGCCCTTAGTCCGTAAGTCAAGACGCCTGTGTCCAATTTCCGAGCTCCGACACCTGTCCAGCCTCCCACACCTGTTTCCACCTTGGGACACGCTGCTCGGCCCAGAGAGAGGGGAGGGAAGGATGTGAATTCCAGGTCTTACAGGGACCAAGGCGGGACTGCGCGCTGCTGCCCTGGGGCAGTCCCCTCTCTTCCTCCCAGGGCTCTAAAACTTTTGCCCAATCGTCGTGCCACCACATCGGGAGGGCCTTGGCCCTGGGACTCCCTAGGGGTCTAGTCCGAACTGAGCCCCGGGGGCCGGCAGTCCTGGTCCCACAGCCCCGTCTGAGCCTCACCCCGACCTCTGGCGTCCGGCTTGCCCACGTGGGGCCCGAGAGCTCCGCAGGGCGGGCACCCTTGCCAGCCTCGCACCGCCGACCCAGGGCGGACTCGGGCGCGACCCCTCGCGCCCTTCCGGCACCTGAGGCCCTGCGGCGAAGAGACCGGTCCCGCCGGTCGCCCGTGCTCACCTCCCTGCGGCCCCAAGTCCCCGGGACGCAGCTCCGAGCCGCGCAGCTGGGCCTTGGCGCCTGGGGGCGGAGCCCCGGTGCCCCGCCTCTTCCCTACCTGCGCGCCGCCGGCGGGGGCGGGGCCGGGCTCCGGGGGCGGGGCCGGGCTCCGGGGGGCGGGGCCTGGCCCTGGGGGCGGGGCTCCCGCCGGCACCAGCCGCCGTGCGGAGCGCTCTTGGGCTCCGGGGGCTGGCTGGCACAGCCCCGCCCCGCTCCGCCCAGCGGGGGCCCTGCCCGGGCAGAGCCGTTTTCCGCCGGAGCTCCTGTCTTCCGGGCGCCGTTTTCCCCTCGTAATCTCACACAGCGCGTAATCTAGGTCTGAACTGGCCTCACCCTGTCACCCTCAGGAAAGCCCACTCCAGGAACAGCCACCTCCCGCTCCCCTGCGCGCAGCACCCCCATTCTCGGGTCAGGGGGCCTAACCGCGCTCTTGTTAGCCCTCACCCTCGCCTTGACACGCACTGGCAGAGTCCCGGGTCCTCCGAATCCCGCGGCAGTCCCCGCCTCCGGGGAGCCTTCTGTGACCTCGGCCACCGCGGCTCTGCCTTACTACATCGGGCCGCCCTCCTCCGCGCGCTCCTGCGCTGAGGCCGGGTCTTGCTCAACTTCCCTCGCCCTCCCCCGCTCCCGGTTCCCAGCGCCGAGGGGGCGCTGACAACAGCGTGCAGCGTGTCTGCCGTAGGGACAAGCTTGCAGCCCTTGCTTGGTGCTGCGTGGGCAAAACCTCGGTTCCCGCGGGTGCCCGCCGTGCGGACCGGAGGCTCGGCGGGGCGGCGGGGTCAGCCTCCGAGGCAGGGAGGCCTGGGCCTAGCCCTTACGAAGCAGTTCTTAATCTGCAAAGGAGCTAAGCCTGCCTGGCCTTCTCAAAGGGTGTGAAAAGCACCTGAGAAACAGGCCTAGCCTTGTTGGCTAATGCGACTCTTACCAGAGGCGGTGGGGGCTGTGGAGCCAGAAGTCCCGAGTTCAGATCCGGCCCCTGCCCCTTACACCTGTGGGATGTGTTGGACACATCCTCGCCCTCCCCAGCCTCCGCTTCCTACCCTGTGAGAGAAGGCCTAGCCGCTTCAGGCGCCCCTTGAAGGGCACGTGGCTGCTATTGCAACCGTTGCTATAACTTGCTGTTATCACTCTAGGGCCTGCATGTTGAGCAATCTCTCATGCGCTCTGCCTGGAGAGCCCCTCTGGAGTTGGGGCGGGTCTTGCTCTCTTCCCCGCGCCACCCCCCCCACCTCACCCCCAACCCCACCAGGCAGGCAGGGTAGTTGGGGGTGGGGAGGAGGCAGGGGGTGCAGAATGGGGGCTGGCCTCCCAGCTAGCACAGAAGTCACCCATGGCTTTGTCCAGGGCCTCCAGGCCAGATGTGGAGGGGGAAAGAGAGGGAGAGAAACATCAGTGTGTGAGAAAAACATTGCCTCTTACAGGCGCCCCGACTGGGAGGAAGCCCAAACCCAGGCTTGTGCGCTGACCGGCATCCAGCAGGCAACCTTTCACTTTGTGGGTCACACCCATCCCACTGGCTGCTATCACCGCACCCTTCCCTGGCTGAGCGGAGTTGCCTGAAAGACTCAGGCCTGGGGGGAGGGGGTGGGAGGAGGGGGTCTGGACCTCTGGAGACTGGCTGGTCTCAGAGGCAGGTCAAAACCCTGGCTCCTCACAGAGCTTCTGAGGCCCCTTCCTCCTGTTTATCACCGGCCGGAGGGGAGTGGGAGGTTAAGAAATGGAGAGGGGGGAGGGGGGATTGTCCAGAGAAAGGCATGTCTCCTTCTCCCCATCTCCCAGGCCCTGAGCAAATGCAGCGGCGTGGGGGTGGGGGGTGCAGCATGGCCTGTGTGCAAAGGGCCAGCACTCTGTAGGGAAGGTGGAAGCCACAGGCCCCATGACAGGAAGGAGACGGTGGCCAGCCACTCAGGCCCTTCTATGGTACCGAGCCGCCCCTCAGAAACATGGCCCCCTGCTCAGCGACGAGCGGTGTGGGTGATTATCGCAGCCTTGGCTGCAATGGCAAGCGCCTGCCCGCGGAGGGGGCGGTGTGGGATAGACCAGGGGCGTGACTGGTCGTGGTGTCGCACAGCTCCTAAAAGCAGAAGCCGCGCTCAGTGCTGCATGAAATACATCCACGCAACATCAAGTAAAAAGAGCGAGGTGCATGTTTAGTATAATTCCATTGACCTACGTTCAAAGAAACTTCCGTGCATATGCTGGTAGAGCCACAGGAACCCTCTGGAGGCCTGTTCGTGGAGTAACCCTGGGGGGGGGGGGTGGAGAGAGGGAGAAAAAGACCAACTTTTTTTTAAAATTTATTTTTTAGAGAGAGGGGAAGGGAGGGAGAAAGAGAGGGAGAGAAACACCCATGTGCATGTGCAAGAGACACATCAGTTAGTTAGTTGCCTCTCCCATGCCCCCCACTGGGGACCTGGCCCGCAACCCAGGCAGGTGCCCTGACTGGGAATTGGACTGACGACCTTTCACTTCACAGGTCGGCACTCAGTCCACTGAGCCACACCAGCCAGGGCCAGAGACCTACTTTTTCTATCACAAAATGTATGTGTGCGTTACTCTCCTAACTTGCAGAAAAACACAGCCTAAACTTTTGTTTTTAATGGGCCTAAAGGGGTAGGGAGCACCTTGACAAGTGGAGCGGAAGAATGGGGTTCAAGTGGAAGAGAAGAGAACAGAGGCCTCAGAGCGAGGGGACAGTAGGGCACATCCCGGGCCCCTGGTTCAGCTGCTTCACAGAAGGTGACAGAAAGGTGGTGGGCAGCAAGCCTGGGAAGGCAGATGGACACGTGCTGGGGGCTTGAACTCTCAGGGTGAGGTGTTTCTACTCGTATCTAATCCTGCAAGTAATGGGGCGTCTTCAAGCCGGGAGATCACCCCTTAGATTTTACGCTTGTGTAGCCCTCTTTGAAAAGGGCTTCCTCAGACGTGATTACAAGAGTTCATCTCGACCGCCACCCTACCAGGTAGGCAGGGCCGGCTTTGCAGGTGAGGAGCGGGCCGCTGTGGACTGCGGACGGCACACAGGCCGCCGTGCAGGAAGGCAGGCGAGGGAGCAACCCTGGCCAACGCCCCAGCACATCGACCCCAGGCGGCCCTCGTGACACTCGGCTCATGAAGATGAGAAACAGCCCTGGGGAGAAAAGGGGAAAGGAAACTGGAAGTCATAAGTTGGGGGGGTGGGGGGGTAGGGCCCTGCTAACAGACCTTGGAAGGAGGCCAGGGGAGGAACTCTTAGGGGTCTGTGGTAGCTGAGACTTTAAAACTTGAGAACAGGCAATGACATTGAGTGAAGGGAGGCTGATGTGCTGCCTGTCGACACCCAGGTTTAGGGGCTGTGCCCCAGGCCACACAGCTGGTCCCACACTCTTTCCAGGCATCATGGACTGTACCCAATTTCAGAAGGGTCATTCTGGCTGTGCTTTGGACAAATTGGTTTGGGCAAAGGTGGGGAGGCCAGCGAAGGGGCTACTTTAAGGGTCCAGGGCAATGGGACAAAGGGTGGGGGGCAGCGGAGCAGCTTGGGAAGGATAGGTGAGGAAGGCATCCCTTGTTTCTAGAATTTGGCCACCACAAGCCTCCAGATGTCCTCTCTACCTGTGCCCTGGGGGTTTACCCCCTCACTCACGGGTTCTAGGGGGTGAGGGCGGGAAAGATTCTGCTTGTGTAGGGTAAAACTGAAGGGTTTTCAGAAGGGAACCAGTATCTGTCTCAGCGGTTCAGAGCTGGTATGGGTGGTGCAGCGTCGTCACCTCGCGGCTATAAAGGGTACTGCACCAAGGACCTGGAGAAGCCACATCCCTCTTGCTCCCTCTCTGCCCGCTTTCTCACCAGAAAACAGAGCCGTTCTGCCTAAGGGTCCCTGGGCAAGGCCTGGAGCTCACGCTTCAGAGGGCCTGTGAGTGTGAGAAGTGAGAGGCCAAAGCCTATGCAACACTCGTCCCTGCCATCCTGCCTGCCTTACAGGACAAGGCACCCCGGAAGGGGCGCCAGTGAACCTCCATTTGGGTGCTCCTGTACTCCAAGACCCCAGGCACCCCGAGAACTGCCTGCCACCCAGGGGAAACCCTGGAGCAGCCAGTGTCCAGGCTGGTGCGCCCCTGGGGCTCCGATTGTATACTTCTGAGTCTGTCTTCTCCTGTGCCGTCCCCTCCCCCATGGCGGCCTTGAATCTCTGCCTCCCTCCCTGCAGCCTGTTCCCCACACTCGTGCTGTTCCCAGCCCTGCCTCAGCCTTCCTCCGGGCCGCCCTCGTCTTAGCCGGGGCTTGGTCGTTCCGACTGGCCGTTGGGAATAGACTTGGAATGCCGTTCCTGAGCCTGTCACCTTCTGCTTCCCAGCTGCCTGCATCCTGCAGACCCCAGATGGCTGCAGCATCTTGCCTCCCTCCCCCCTGCCCCTGTCAGGGCCCATGGCTTGGGGAAGAGGGCACCAGCTTTGGAGGCAAACGCTCAAGTCTACCCAGCTCAGCTCTAATGAGCTGCCTGAAGTGTGACATTCGGCAATTTGCCTGCCTTGAGGTGTCAGAGCCTTGCTAGGAACACACCCCGTCCCGGAAGCCCCACCCAGAAGCCATAAGCAAAAGGTCAACAGATTCGATGACTAAGCAAAGCAAATGTCTGAGCCAACCGTATTGGGCGCCCCAGACAAAGTGAACAGCTAAGGAAACTTCCAATCAATGCAACCAAAGGGTCAAGATCTAGAAACTGCAAACAAGGTCCTACAATTCTGTTTTAAAATGACAAAATAACCTAAGAGAACATTGGACAAAGGCTAAGGAGAGGTAATTCACAGAAAAATAAAGGAGAATAGTCCATGGATCTGGGAGAAGATAAATATAGAAAAATACAGGGAAAAAATCAAGTTGAATAGAACTATATATTCAATTTAAAAAATACAGTAGTTAGGGAAAGGCAAATTAAAGCTTGGACAACCCGGGCATCCAGGCCGCACGCAGGAGCCGGGCTCCCTGGAGGAGTGGCTGGCTCCAGGCCCGGGCCAGCAAAAGTGCTCAGGGAACCTGGGAC